CCTGTCATCTGATACATGCATAAAAGAAAAAACTCACCTTGCAGTGATGGTGAAGCTGGACAAACCCATCATATCCATACCTCTGAAACACATTCAAAAGGGGATTGTGCTTAATATTGAATGGTTCATAGAAGATTCACTACTGAAAACATGTATTGTGCATTAGATTACATATCTGGAGTCCTTAATTTAGATGTAAAACATGGGCAGAGTTTGATGCCCCCGACACGTTCGGCTGTGGAAAAGCCTGTATTGATTGTGTTATCTTGTCTGCGAGGGTTCAATCTTGCTCCTAGATGACTATCCACTCTAACGCGCTGGATAACTCACAGTGAATGCCATCTGAGGCTGTTGACTCTTTGCAGATGAAGCCACAAATGATCTACATCAGCAATGCAGCCAGTAAAGCCCCATTTCAGATCCCTACAGATCTGCAGTTCTGTGTACTTTGTTGATGCCACAGAGACGCTTCAGAATTTTTAAAATGCGAGATGGGTTTTACAATTCATTCAATAAAAGTCTGCTTTAAATGATAAGAGACCAGGACCTCTCTAAAAGGCCAAACAACATACTCAACATACTGTGTTACCATCCTCTCATGCATGAATTCTTTTTTCATAGATTCTTTTTCTTACTCAAAATTGAGCTAAAATACAAATCCATTTTGTTCAAAATTCTGTTTTATTTTTAAATTATTTAACTGTCCACGTATGTGGACACCATGCAACATAGGAGTAAAATGCCATCCCTGACAACATGGAATTATTGTTTGTTATGTCATGTTATGCTAGTTATTTAGTCTCAATTGAAAATTAACAATAAAACAAATATTTTAGGAACAAATAATAAGAAAAGAACACTAACAGTGCTATTTATAAGTGTAATTACATGACTTCGGACACCCAGTAGCATATTGTTATCCTCATCTAACTTTATGTTGATTCATCTCAGTTTTTCATATCAACATACATGTAACAGAGTACATATTTCTGGTTAAAACTGATTTCTTTACATTATGTGAGTACAATACTTCTTCTAATGTCTTGCTAAGCCAGTCAAAAGTTGCCATTTAATGCTGTAATATGCACTTGCATTGTTATAATGTTTAATATTTGTTAAATGTTTTATTATGCTTTATTGTAATATATACAAAATCTTTGAATATATACTGTATATCAACAGATTAAAAAATCAAACTTAATGCACACTGACTCCACTGTTGCATGACGTCCACAAACGTGGACAGTTGGTTTTTGGTGTATAAAAACTATATTTTACTCTAAATTTTAATTTACAAAACATAAACCTGTTAATAAGACTTTACAGTACATAGTACTATTTTTTTGTCTTGAATGACCTCCTTGAATAAAAGTGTTTCACAGATATGCCTGAGGCATTTAGCCATCACAGTCGGCCATCTTGGATTGATAAGGTCATCAAGAAATAAATATTTGGAAACCAAGAGAGTACCCGCTGTTATAATGTTGCTATGAATCAACTGACACTGTCCTCAAATGACTTGGAGAACATAACTGTGATATGGTAACTCAAAATGGAGTTAAAATAACTATCCACAAATGCATGAAAAGGTTTATGACTTTTCTAATTTCATGAGAGCTGCTCATGAAAATCCTTTGAACTAATGACATGTATGTTTTAGAAGTCTGTTATAGAAAAAGATGCAGTACTTCTGTTCCTGTAAAATGTGGTGAAATACACTTTTTGTGTTTTTCTCACTATGGCCACCAGTAAATTCCGATTATTCATATAACATGGATAATAAGAAGGCCGCAGGACTACAATAAAATAAGACTTGTTAAATATCCTAAAATTCACTTTTGTTCACTTATATTTATATAGGCCTTCAGTCGGTTTATCACATATTGTGAAATACAGTATTACGCCAGTGTAACACACAAAATTTGTGCCAAAAAAATACCAGGATGCATCCATTTATGTCAGACCTCTCAAGTAGCAGAGAAGCTAATTGACAACTCAAAATATGAATATGCCTGTCATATTATGTTACTGTATGTAATTACTTATGGGAAGAAAGAAAGACTGCGATGTGGTGAGGGCACCAGTCCGCAGACCATCTATCCTGTTCAGCACTAAACATGGACAATCACTGGCAAAGGCCAGGCCTCCATAGTGACACAGACTTAACAGCAGGAACAGATAGGACAGCGAAAGAGCAAGGCCACAGCCACCTATTGATTAAAGTTTAACCATCCATAGAAAACACAGATTTATGGAGTGAGCTGTTAAACTCCCTTCTGACACTCCAACTGGAAAAGTCTGTACATTTTATTTTACTGCCTTTTAGTAACATTCAAGGAGGAGCTCTGCCTGCCAGACAAAGACAGATGTGTTTTTCTAAAACCCACTCAGATCTAGCCTGTAGATTGTGTGGATTTACGCTGAGGCTCCAGGCTAAAAACCTCTCAGATCCTTAATGAGCTTGTGTCTCTCAGTGCCTACCTGCTTCAAATCGGGCCAATCCTTTGGTAAAATATGATTATGAATGTCAACCTTCATCCTTATGATTACACTCGGGAAAACATGGTTTCTGCTGCCCGAGATCTCTTGTAGTAACTGAGAGCAAATTGAGTCTCCCGCCTTCAGCCAGAAACCAATGACCAGCAGGTGAAAGGCTGCTGCTGGGACACCCTGGTTATTTATTACCTAGTCAATAAAACAAGCAGAAAGTAGGCTAACAGTTAAAGCAGCATTATCTGTGCAGCTGAGGTGGCTGCCTTTATGCTCAGAGTTTTGTGTTCATAGTTTTGTTTATGATAGGTGCATGTTTGGATGATGCAGTTATGATGTTCAATTCAGTTCAATGGAGCTTTTTGGCATGAATGTCAAACTACAATATTGCCAAAGCTTAAATATAATACAAAAGAACAATTCATTTCATACAGTAATTAAATGAAGTAAATAAAACATGTGTTGAGTGTTAGATTTTTTTTTTAAAAAAATTAAAAAGAAAATAAATAAATAAAGCTGTAAGTGTGTGAGTGTGTGTTGTGAATTCAATTCATATGGTTCATCAAATAAATTAAATTAAATTAAAAAACAGTAAGGGTGTGTGTGTGTGTGTATGTGTGTGTGTGTGTTAAAATAAAATGCAAAGCTCTGACTTACATAATAATCAGTCAAAAAGTTGACTGATATTTTGCTGAAATGTTTTTCCATTAGTTCGTCTCCACAACTGCTCATAAGCCTGCGTTTTGGCGCCACCTGGTGGCCAATTGTTGTAGCCTCGTGAACGCCTTGAGCGTCAAAACAGAATTCAGGCGGGTTGTTTATAGACCGCGTAATAAAAAGATTAATGTGCGACAGTATCTGATTTCCATTCGTTTGGATAATTTGTTAACCATGGGTAAATACGGCGAATCTGGGATTTGAGGGCAAATTCACTATCAAGAAAGATGTAAACTAAACAAATTATCATAGCCTATAATTAGATAAATATGCTAAGCATTACACTGATAAAGCAGCCATGTGGCGCTAATAGGGTAATCCATAAAAACAATAGCCTATGGCTTTTTTACTTTAGATGTTGATAACGGCTCGCTAAGTGTCGTTAAAGTTTTGTTTCATGCATATAAATCAAAGGTAATTTGCAGAAAAAACTTGAAAATGCTTGAGTGATTCAGGATAGATTATTCTATGTGGTGGTCTATGGGAATCAGATGCTGGGATCTGAGAGGAGGAGAGAAGGAGGAAGAGGAGGAGGGGAAAAAAAACACCAACTTGCTGGCACCGCCTGCCAGATCCACAGCAGATCTCAGCAATTTATCGCATCGCCGCATCTAACCCTCTCCAACTGTCTCTAACTGGCTCAGCCGGACAGGGCATTTACATTGAGGCTGCAGAGCTGTGTTGAGTTCACACTGAAGGAGTTGGTTCGCTGCTGATGCTGGGGAGATAAATCCTTTATCTCTCATCTTCTCTTATCGCCATCTCTTCTCCCCCACCCCGTCCCCCGCCCGCGCAACTGAGTCGACACTGGGGGCATATTGGACGCGCTGGATGGCTGCTGCACTTAGCGAACCGGCCTGAATTGTTTTTCCATCATCATCTTCCTCTGCCTTTGAGCCTTAAAACAAAACAGTAACTGCAGCAACAATGACAGACCCGGTGACCCAAGAGTCCTACCCTGTCCCAGACCCGACTATTGTGGATCCCTGCCCGGCCACGGTGCGGAACGGCCAGTGCGCCCCGGATGGCTTCACCAACAACCATCACCAGCAAGCCAAACGCCCCAGCCAGTCAGAGACGTTCACCGCGGGCCAGGAGATGAAAATCACAGACAGTGTGGAGGGAGAAGGTAACTTCATCTATCTCTGGCATGTTTGGTGCTTGGATTTGGTTCCTAAAAGTTATGGATATGCATGCAAGTGAAATGTGCGTGTGCCTGTGTGTGTGCGTGTGTGTGTTTCATGTTTGTGTGTGTGTGCCCCTGGGGAGATTGGAGGGGTATTTTTACCCATGTGAGGTATTTTTAGTCTGGCTCTTATTTGAATAATTTATGGTAGTCCTACATCAGCAGGATTCAGATTAGAGTAAAGCAAAAGATGAACTCAAAGCTTAAAACACTGCTAGTCCTTAAAGCCATTCATTCATTCATTCATTCATTTGATCGATTCAGTTTTACACATGCAACGTTATTGGATTTGGCTTATTTAAGAGCTGGAATCAATCTACAGCATCAGCTTTTGATGTCTGAACTGAAAAAGAAGGTCAGAATGAAGAAAGATGTTAATTTAACTGTTCCTGTCTTCTTCCTACAATTGACACTGGTCAGTTGGCAGATTTGAGCTCTTAGGAAGAAGACTGAACACATAAAGAGGTAATCCAGTGTATAGCGTTGCACTTCCATAAAGTCAGCGAACTTGTGTGAGACAGATTTTTTTTCAGTGGTCTAAAATCAACAGCAGAGAGCTGAGATATCCTCCAAAACCTGAACTGTGATGAATGCCTGGTTTATGGTCACGGTTTAGGGGTCATGGTTTCCAACGTCACACTTTGAGGTTGCCACGCAGACTTTCTCTCAAACAGCTGTAGGCCCTAAACCCAAAGCATGACAAACCCTAATGACATCACAAGGGTTATTTTCTCAGGCATGCAGTAAGCTCCTCTAAAACCATAGATGTCATTATGCAATGTTTTAAACATGTTAAGTAGTACTAAGTAACCATCACGAGTGCCAATTTAAATGTATGTAATCACTTACTGTGTAACTTCGCTTCTGTTGCCAGGTGAGGTAATGTTCTCACATTCACATCTCCCTCCCCTGCTTTTCTCATCTCTCTCCTATTTACATAAATGTCCCTGACGTTGCTTTTAGAAAACCTCTGCAGTCTTCTGATCGTGCTTTTCAAGGCCAGCGGTTTCTCTACCCATCTAGTTATGATATGATGACAGACAATAGGAGCATGCTTTCAGATTATTTAAAAAGTAATACATAGCTTTTGTGTGTGTGTGTGTGTGTGTGTGTGTGTGTGTGTGTGTGTGTGTGTGAGTAATCGGCCTTTTGATCTACATGGTTGATGTTAATTATTTTTAGAAAACTAAGGTCTAACAGAGACAAGTGTGAAGAGAGAGACATACACCCCCACACACAAACTTGTACGTGAGAGATGTGTGTATACGCCTTCTGTCTGATCCCCCAGCCAGGGATCATGTGAGCAAAGCTCTGCTGTCTCACTTCCCCCCTCTGCCACCCACCCACACACATATGCTGGTTAGCTAGTTAGCTAAATTGTTTAAAGCTAAATATATGTCCTTTAGTTTTTCATCCAGGTATAAAACTTGGACACCGCAGGACATTTTTTGAGTAGCTTCCATTGGATGCTGTATGTCAAATTTAGTGAACTCAGTTTTTGTTTGTGTAGCCATACATAAAAAATGAATCTTGTATAGTATGATGGATATCTTCAACGTGAGCAACCCTGGCTGGAAACTCTCCTAATACCCATAGAAAATTACCTGCCTCCTACAACATAGCAAGCTATTAGCAGAGCAAGTCCAGCGCTTGTAAGATGTGTGTTGTACAATCAGGACAAATGTCAAATACAGTACATCACACAACATGATTAGTTGCTATTGTTTGAAATAAGGCACATTTTCTCTTCCTCACACATGCAGTACACACCATATTTAAAATAAACACATGCACATTTTTCTAAGGCTATTTACACAGATAAACACGCACTGGAACTCATTTACATGAGTCTGCATGCTCACACACACACACACACACACACATAGTTGCACAGTGTGACTTAATATACGTCACAGTGATCTGGCTCTTGGCCCTGATGGAAGACTTCCAGATGATTTTCAGCTCCCTTTAAGCACAAGCCATGTGGTTTTCTATTTCATATCTTCGAAGAAATCAACTACAGCCCGATTAAATTCTGTTTCACACTGGACCAAAGAACCTACTAACACCCACAAACATCTGGCTTTTGTCTTCAGCGTGATGTCTATAAACGTCTCATCCATATGTTTATGTAGTATTAGGCTACAGTCCGTCAGCTGTGAATTTATATCCGCACTGTGATGTCTTTTAAGGGCACACAAACACCGTAAACACACCTGTCGACCTGCCGCGGGTGATGCTGTTAAACAGCAACCAGACCGCGGCTACACCTTATTTTCACACATCAGAAAAAAACTGAAAAGGCAAACTCGTCTACTGGTAATGTGAAATGAGTCAATTTCCTATTTTTAGCGGGTTTACCAACATTTAAAAAAGGTATAAGTGATTTCAGCTAGATGGTGAAAATCAAAGGGTGAATGGGTTTTTACCATAACATGACTCAAAATGAGAATAACACTAAATGTAATAAATTCTGGATGTAAATATACAGCATACTGAAGATGTCAAGTTGACCTTTTTAGACTGACCTCCCATAGAAACACAGATGTAAATGAGCTGTACATTTTAGTATCAACAACTATATTTTTCACAGGATGCATCATAACAGGTTCATTCAAGTTTTGTGACCGGATACATAAAAATTGCCAGAACGAAACTAAAGTCAGTTGCAGTACTACATTGCTTGAAGTGCAAGGGTCTGGCAGTCCATCAAAAACAGTTGGAAGCTGGTGAGGGATCGTGTCCTAGTAGCAGCACAAACTCCCTCTGGATGCTCTGTCTCCTTCTGTCTACACCCACACCAGACAAACACTGGGAGTTAACAAGAGCAAAGAGCTGCATGTAGGTTGAACTGGTCGTCCCACATTGTGAGAAAAATGGGAAGAAATGTAAAGACAAAAAAACAAACAAAAGACAATTAAATCAAATAAAGGCGACAAATTTAGTGTGAGTATTGATTAAAGGTACATTTTCGTCACATGGGATACAAGATCGTATGATTGAGGGCACAAATGTTGAGTGTACAAAATAAACTATGTTGTATTTCCAAACTCCACTGATTTTACTCATAAAGGTCAGTTCTCAAGTCAGTATATAATATATTTTTCTTTGTCAAGTCTGAGAAGTCTGTAAAGTCTCTTAGCTCATCTCATCTTTAGCTTAAAGACTCCTAACAGAACGTGTGGAGTTTAAAATACGTAGCTGTTCACCATAAAGGAAGGGCTTCACGAAAGGATGCCATTGGTTGCAGTTTTGGGAAACATGGTATCAGGGATTTTTGGAGCGCAGCCCATAGGGACTAAAAGTAAGCGTATCTCATCCTCTGCTGCACTGATTCCTCCCACTCTTGTAGTCTTTTACAGCTCCCCCAAATTTATACATGTGCAACACTAAAACACCGTAGCTCTCCTTTAAGTCTTAAAATGGTTTATTTTGAAAATTGGTTCAGTTGTTTTGAGTATAAAAGCTTTTTACTATTACTCCCTCTTTGATGCAAACACACACATGCACAGTCGTCTTGGCCCCAGTCATGTTGTCATTTAGTGACTGTTTGTGTGTGTTTTTCTGTAAGTCATGTCATATTGTTTCTAAATGTTTTGTAGGCTTAGTTGTCCTGTGTCAGGTGGTTGATCGCAAAGTTAACTTGTGCCAAATGTTTAAAAACAGTTGATTTTGTCATAACCTAGGCTAATAATGATCCAACATTGTTGTTCTTGGTATAAATTCCATTCAAAAATAAAAGCATATAAATTCCTTTTTATATATAAAAGCCTTAAAAAATAGAACCGGGCAAAACAAAGACAAACCCTTTTGGTTATTTTCCCTTTGAGTACACATAGTCAGTATTCTATTTTTTTCTTATTCAAGTAACTTCCTAATATGATTACTGAATAGATTTTTCTACAGCATTTCAGTAGGTTAAATGATTAAAAGAGCCTTGTTTTCCCTTAATGTGTTCCCATTATTTGCCTGTGGCCAGATTGGAGTCTGAAAAAGGAAACAGCCTCTGTCTCTCAGCGCAGTTCACAGGTGATTGGCTATATGGTCCCTGAGACAAATTTCTGGATAGTATGATAACTGATAGCACTGAAAGCTCTTTTGGATGGTAAAAGTTAAGGCTTATAAATTTTCATGACTCTGCAGAGCCAGCCTCACGCTTCATGACAATCGAACCGCTTCAGGCAGTTCAGAATCAGGGCTGTTGTGTCTGTGACTTCAGGCAAAGACTTCTCACAAAGAAACAGGCATGCGAGCCACTAGGAAATGTATGTGGGACTGTTATACTGAGTGTTCTGCTTTAACACCTTCTCTGTTTAGTCCCTTAGAAGGAAACTGTACCTTAAAAAGCTATAAAGGTTGGTTAACAACAGCAGACTTTTCTTGTTCTCACGATCACGTGACAAAAGACTGATTTTTGTTGATTTATTCTGTGAACGTGAGATACTGTGATTGGTTACGGTCTGTAGACGTGAGTGCTCAGCGTGGTGGAGTGACACAGGTGTACTGTGGAGGCTCTTGGAGTTGTGTTTAAATCTGTGAAGGTCAGCAAAGACAGTTAAGCTGACAAGCGGCCCCTGAGCCTTCACTCATGACCTGTAATCTGCAGTATAATAAGGGTCCCCTGGCATTAGGTGTGGAGGATTATCTAACAGGATGGATGCATAGAAGGTGGGAGAAACGGCTCCATTTATGCTAAAAGCAGAAACTGAAGCTCACTGATAGGTCTCTTGAGCCTCTTGAATTGGATTGATTATACCTGGTACAACAACAAAACATTTCTATGAATGGAGCATGTACTGAGCAGAGCCTGACCTCTGACTCCCTTTCTGTCATTTCGAAACACCATTATGCCCACAGGCTAGTCTTGCATTGAACACATTATTCATGATAAAAGCAACACACCATTCTTCTGGCATTGATCCAAAATCCCAAATGTAATTACTGATCCAAATTTTGAATTGAATGCCAAAATGCCGAATTTAAACTATGTTTAGCATAGGGCTGAACAATTTGGGGGGGAAAAATCTAATTGCAATTTGCCAGGTACTGCGCTTAAGATTCGATTTGGGATTTGCTAAAGTTCAATATTCACGCAGCACAGAGCAGATGAACCAGGCAGGACGTCAGACACAGAACGGCATAGAGAATCCGGCCGATTTTCAAAATAAAACGCCCGTTGCTGACTCCAGACCGTACATCAATAATTAACACAGTTAAAACAGACAAATAAGCAAAATCTGAACAAATCAGCAAAATCAGACAGGTAAAACGCTCTTATTCTGAAATGCTCCATGTGGATATGTAACGTTAGCCTGCAGAGAGCGGAATGGAAAAGGTTCACAGAGAGCCGTTATCCGTAGTTGAAGCACACAAAATGACAAATTAACAACACATTCCACAACGTGCAGGCTAAACGCTCCACTGCTCAAACACTTCAGTGTGAGTTGACCGGACAAAACCGCGGCACAGCTACTGCCTGAGGCGAAATCCACACTACTCCGTTTTAGTTTAAAACGAATACGATCTCCGTCCACACCAGCGTTTCTGCTGCGTTTTGCAGTTGATCTCCGTCCACATCAAAACGACTGAAAACGCACAGCTAGGACCCGTTCAGGTGCACTGGGCATGCGGGTGCCAGTGTAAACATGAAGCAGATGGTCTATTCCGTAGTTACAGAAGATTTGGCGAAGAATAAATAAACACAGAGGAAGCATTAGACCAGTTTTTTGTTGTTGCGTGGATCAATAACGAGCTGGGACTGTTAGTGAATGTAACACGGGAGTGTGGCGGCGGAAAACAGACTGGGAGTTGTTGCAAAGTAAACAGCGACATGCGCAGTACAAGTGCAGGCAGATGAGTGTTATTCGCACGGTACAGAATATTTTAATGATGTCAGAAACCCAGTCAGCAGCATCGTGTTTCTGCTTTGCAAGACCCAATCAGAGAGCCAAGCGTGAGCAGTAGCGTCATCGTTTCTAAAGTTCTCCGTTTTGGCCCGTCTTCACTAAAACGCCCTCCGGAGTTTTGAAACGCAAAACGGGGTCGGCAGCGTTTCCAAACTTCTCCGTTTTAAGGCTTCGTTTTCATCGTTGTAGTCTGGACGGGAGGTGCAAACGTAGCAAACCGGTCTTTTTAATTCGAAAACGCAGTAGTGTGGATGGGGCCTGAGTCGGTTCAGCTGGCACCATTATCCCGCGTTATCCTCTAGTTTTGTTTGTAATGTACTATATGTCCTGTGTCCGCTGTGATTGGTGAGTAGGACCCTAACAGGAGGAGCATGGCACTCGTGATTGATGAGCAGGTCTGTCACACAAGGAATTTCGATTTGAAAACGATTAATTGTTCAGCAACAGAATGTTTAGCTCAGTGTTTCTTCCAGCAATGCCTTGTGGGCCTCCTAGATGAGTTCACAAGCTTGTACTTTTATGTTTCAGTGAACCAAGTACTCATTATTCAAGATTTAAGAGAATCTTTTTGCTGTCTACAGTAAGTGTTTGAAAAGGGCTGAAATGGTCACACGATAAAACGTGACATAAAACGAACGTCACAAGAAGAAAGGCGGAATTGTCCTTGTAACAGTGTTTGTGTGTCTCACTGCAGGTCTCCTCGAGAGCAGCATGCGTCTGAAGCCCCACGAGGCTCAGAGCTACAGGAAGAAGGCACTCTGGGTCTCCTGGGTCTCCATCGTGGTCACACTCATACTGGCGGTGGCAGCTTTCAGTAAGCATTTCAAACACTCAATCATAAGCATGCAACATGTATTAAAGTGCTATACAGTATGGGGCTGTTTGTTGTTTATTGGGGTGGTGGTTGCTAGTGGGGTGGCTAGGGGGTGACTTCGTTTTGTTTTTTATCTTGACCCTCCTCGGAGTTACAAATATTTTTCCTTGATTCTCCCTGAGTGACTGAGGGACAATGCACGACCCTCCCTACACCTTAAATAACCATATTTTTTATTATATTCACACAAAAACTAGCTAGTACTGGTGAAAATAAAAGGTAAAGACTGACATTTTCCAACCGTTATCCAGGTCTGAAACAAAAATAAGATGCTGACCAGTAAACAGAACGGAGGGAGTGAGAATTATCACCAACACAAACAAAAGCAAGCAAAATGCAACTGATCTGCTGTTAAAAGGCATATATCTATTGACTGAGGAGCTTACACTGTGATTGTGGCAGTTTAATTCTCACTTCCCCGTTGACTCAGAGATGTTGTCATCTAAACGTCTGTTTAGTAATGGTGCAAACATGTAGTAAGTTTTACAAACCTCCCTCTTACAATGTGGAGTTGGGATAAATGCAGATGGTCTGAGTTACATTGTTCTACAAAGGTAAAAAACTGTTGCTATAGTTTGTATTGTTGTCTGTTGTCTGTCCCAGATGCTACTTCACAAAAGTAAACATAAATTCAAATGAAATACACATTTTCTACTTATTTATCTGCAAGATAAAAGCAGTTTTTTGATGGATTTCAAGTTTTAGCACAATATTTGCTTACCTGAAATGCTAATGTTTATTTGAATGTGGTGGTACTCTGAGCCTTTTTTGAAGAGCAAAGACTGCCAGCGAACACGTCCAGGATGTAAATAACAAATGTGTATATAACCAACAAAGTGACACATGAAAGAAAAGCTCAGAGCTAATTGATCCCGCAGCTAACACACATTTTCAATGTGGGCCTCATTGCACATGTAGTATTTTAAAAACAAGTTTTTTATTCAGTTATGAAAGCAAGGAAAACAGAATGTCTTGAAATCAGTGAATCATAAACAGATTATACCTTTTTTTCCAGCAGTAAGTTGACAAAGAGCATGTGCTTGTTACCCACACTGATCTGATGAAGATTGTGTTTGTGTGTCAGTCGTGTTTGTTGGAGTAATTCAAAACAATTTGAGCAATATATAACACTTAACTACAAGTTAAACCATGGAGGAGCATAGAAGACTCATTTCCTGACAAAAATGTGGCTGTGAAAATGCTGTGAAATTGTGTTGTTTACTTTCAGGTAGAGGCTTTAATCACATATGAGCAGTAACAAACTGCAGACTGAGAGTAAACCTTACAGTGTGCTGCCTTAGCTACTGTTGTTCCCGCTCTGAAATAGGTGATAGATCCATTCCTAAATTTGTCATACTTTCATCCTAAACAATTTCATACTTTTAAGGCCGTTTATGCGGAAGTAAGACTGAGTCCCCGAAGGTATACAACAATAAAGATGATCAATTCAATTCAAATCAGTTCAAATCAAATTAAATTCAGTCTGTATTGTCATACCAGGGGAAATTTGATTTGCAATAGCGTTAAAACAAACATACATGAGACATGAACAAAGCTCAGTGCAAATTTATCTGTTCCTCTTGGGAATCTGTATCTTTGCCCAGAGGGGAGAAGAACAAATTCCTCCAAAAGAGGGTGGTCATAGATTTATAAAAGAGTCATTAAAGTTTTGTCCAAATTAAAGGTATTCAATCTTCGCAGAAAACGAAGCCTCTGATGACCCTTCTTGTAGACCGCAGAAGTGTTAAGGTCAAAGTTCAAGTTTTTGTTCCTACGTACTTGTAACACTCCACTGTCTCAATAGGTGAGGCATTGATTATTGTTGGAGAGGTTGAGTGGGGAGTTTCCCTGAAGTCTATAGCCATGTTTTTAGTTTAGTTTCACATGATGTCTTTTACTGCTTTGATGTCACTTCACTATGTAATAAACATGCATTTATGTACTTTGTGCAACTAAACCTCACAATCTCAGATCTGGAAAAAAATCTTTTTTAATCAAACTACACACTGTACTGAACCTCAGCCATCGCTGTGATGTTGTGAAAGTATGTTGCAACAGTTAACACACATTTTGTTGTCTTATGATATAGAGAATGTCTACTTGCATCGTACTATTGTGTGTGCAACACTGGATGTTGCTTTGTCATCCTGGCTAAGCATCAGCTTCAAGTCACGATGCATCCCAGTCTATTCAGATCTTTTGTCTCATCATTGATGGGCTGACTAAGCACAAATTTGCTTTTTTAAGCGATGCAGCTGTATGGATTCACACTTTTTTGATAGAAACTATCAAAAGGGACTATTACTCAACAAAAGTTAAGTTTAATTTGAAGAAATACAAATATAATGTTTTGTATTAAGTTATTAACCATAATACACCATTAATTAGCCAAAAATGTACATAAGATCTCACCTTCAGTAGTTTATTCAGTCAGACAAACAGGATTCAGCACTGAATTACAAAATGTTTGCTTTAGTTAAAATGAGATGTAATACATATTTTTATATTAGCAATGGATCACATGACTCACAAGGGCAAACCCACAGAGAAGAATCATCAGACTCTAAAGCTCTCCTTAGCTCTATGCAGTTTTATACCATCTTCCTGCTCATTGTTTTGGTTTCGCTGCCTGTAACTTTACTGTTTTAGTTCTCTCTCACTGCTCATAGTGTCTTTTTGCAGCTGCTTTCAGCTTAAAAGCTTTGCTATATCAGCTTAAAAAGTGAAATATGCCATATGTTCACAGGTTGTTTCCACGTCCCCCAAGTGGTAAAAACGCAGTTATTGCAGCTGTAGAATTACTTTGCAAGATGAGCAATTGTTCTTTATATGAAACTGCAGTGAAACTATTATATGAACACTGCCATGAATTAGTACAGCACCGAGGTGATGGATAACCTTTAGTTTGTGAATGGCATTCCTGTTGCTGTTGATTCATATTTTCCATTCAGTGCAAGGAAGCATGGAAACTGCAAAGAAGTAAAATGTGTATGTGTATCAGCATTGTTAGACAGAGACAAAGAGTTTGAACATAGAGACTTAAACAGAAGAAGACCCACAAACATATGAACCACTGAAACTGACAGGGGACAGTCCGTCTACAGGGAGACAAAAGAAAGAATGAGAGAACAGAGGGCAGACTGCAGCCTCTAGAGTATGGGACGAGGTTAGGAAATTAATAAATGAATGCAACGCTACCTTCTTCTGCCACCACACAGCTCGGAGAGGGGGAAAAAAAAAAGAAGGGCAAGCGGAGAGGCTGTGCGCTGAAGAGGAGACAACTTAGTGAAAGAGAGCAGGGGGACCAGACAGATGGATAAGGAGGTGTGGAGTGAAGCTCTGAAAGGTGCGACGGTACCAAGGGATGAGGCAGGATGAGTCCTCGCAGGCAGCTTTGGGGATTTAGTGGTTGTGATGGCTCAACTTTAAAGAACACCAGTGTGCCGTTTCCTCCCGCCTGTGCCCTACTTTCTCTTTCTCGCTCACTCTCCATCCTCCATCTTTTATCTTTTAGGTTCCATCAGCTTGTTTCCTTACCCTCTACTTTCTTTACCTCCTTTTTATGTGCTTTCTCACTATTTCACCTTATATTTTTCCTCTATTGGTATAACTAGATTCAATATATTCTAAGCGAGGGCTTGATTCCATCAAGTGTGTAGAGGAGTGCCTTGGACATAGTTTTATGAGTTTTCCTCTGGTGGACAAATTTTAATACATTACAAAACATTTTCTATCCAAAGCGACTTACAATTGCTGTACATGTCAGAGGTTGCACGCCTCTTGAGCAACTAGGGATTAAGTGTCTTGCTCAGGGACACATTGGTGGATGGGTCTCTCACACCAAAGGCACATGTCTTATCCACTGCACCATCACCACCCCTAATAAAGCAAGTTAAAAGTCAAAGTCATCTTTATCTACACATATATCTTTTATCCTGTTTCTGCCAGCCTTTCTAGTTTTCTTTCTTGTTTTTCTATGCTTCTCCTCCTCTATCTCCCTTTTTGTCTCTGTGGAAAACTGCAAAGATTCTCTGGCCTTCTGTGACCTTTAGCAGCATTTTAACATTTAGAAGGAATACGGGGTTCAAGGGCCAATCCTTTACTGCTCTACTTTCAATGGTATTGACTCTTTGAATGTCTTGGTCACAAACGGCTGCTCTGCACAACCTTACTTGAGGAGCTTTCTTTTGTGCTCTCTTGGCTGGGTATTCACCTGTGAAAGTGGTACAAGTCGTCGAAGCTTTATCAGACATATCAGGCGCACAGAGACCACACTTCAAGAGGTAGGAGTGGGTATGTTATTGTGCTGTACAGCTGGCGTTAAACTAGCCAGGAGTAATTCGATGAACTTTGACAAACGTGACAACGGGACAAACACAGGAAACCACAAGATGACATCACATTTGCTTGGTGTGTTGGGCAGTAAGGCACGTGAACACATGGATCATGATGGTACATTTCCAAGTTGATGGAAGAGCTTTGTTCCAAAATAGAATATACATCATCTGAGAAAAGCATAAAATGACAACGATATCCTTTGTTTCTCTGCTTAAATAAAAGATCCAAAATGATACTGCAGCAGACACTACCGCCCACCTTGTATGCAAATAAGGGTCTGAGACAACAAATATTACTCCCGAGACAATATTATATGCTGTTGATGATTGAGACCTGCCATTTTAGTATACTGCATTCATGTCAGCATTAGTTTATGATATTTTTCATTGATTAGAAGTCATTGGCAGTTTCAATTTTACCCCATTACTTCTTGTTCCCCTTCCTGGTGAATATGAAATAACACATAACAAGTTATCCTGCAAAACTAATCGCCCCTCTGGGACAAATAAAGGTCTTGAACTTGAACTTGTTATAACAGGTTAATGGACAAGGAGGAATTTGCACCCTCTACTTTGATAATTGTGTTTCTCATACTTCCATAC